CAATAAAGAACACCGATTACATTTAATGGCAAATCTTTTATGCTAATTTTTCTGTTCTCCTTTTTCTGTTAATTTTCTGCGTGGACTTGTTTGTTATTTACAGCTGATAGATGCCATTGAATTATCTGACGCAACTCAAGTTAGTTATGCTGACGATGACACTGGTATTCTATCGTATAAACTAAAATCCAGAAACAGCGCAGAAGCATTACTGAATACGAGGAAAAACATCTTCGTAACTTTTCCTCAGTACTTAAGATTCCAGCTGCCAGGATATAAGTTATTTAAGCAGCTGTTAGTTCCGTCCGTGTGGCGGAAGTGCAACAGCTGTAGCTGCGTCAATGTCGAAGAACATTTCCGCAGGAAGTAAAACCGGGCATAAGATAAATAGAACATCGTTTAGTCGAAACAAGGCGTTGAAATGTATGGCCAAGTACAACTTTTCTGCCCTTCCTGTTTGTTTCCTTTAAAATCGAATATCTGGTTTCGTGACGAGTAACTGAAGTAGAGGTTCTGAAAAGTTTTGTTTGGTGACACCAACAGATCAAAAACTAAGGCGAGGGATCTTCTTTCATTCGTGCATAGAAAACCCTGCACGTTTTGCATTTTCTGACGAAGTTCCCAAAAGATTTGTTTGTTCAGCGACAAAGGAACCTACCCAAATGCTTCATATCTTTAGCTTCTGAGCTGCGGTTTGCTTGCAATTTCAGGACAGAAATGCTAAATTGATTAGGTTCTCCAAGCGAAACATACTATTCAAAACCATGCAGCGTGATTCGCAGGCTCACTCCGCCTTGTCATACCTGATTTTGTTAATCAAATCTAGAGACGATTGTCGACAACCCAAACCATGCTGTTAATCAAATCTTCTAAAGGAGGAACTTCGCGGCTAATACAAGGCACTGGAACCGGTCTCGCCTAGTCAAGGTTCAGCATCGAGATTATTCTGCGGGGTCACTAAGGCACTTATTTAACATGTAGCACGTTTCTGACGGTCGCTACCTTGCAGCATTTAAGTACACAAAATTATATCGACATAATCACAAAATTTTACCCTGATACCAGTTTGAATGTGATAGGTGTGAAAATTCTAAAATCCAATTAATTTGAATCCTTTTATGCCACGGCACCTAAGTGAGCGGACGTATTGTGTATAGAAGAATCAAACCATGGTAACAAAGAGCACTACTGTGCATCTTTATCATCTGAAGAAAATATGCTTGTTTGTCAGTCAAAGTCAATCATGCAACACCTTGAATATATGCTACGAAGTATGCTGGAAAAACTTCACATTGAACGATAAAGCAATGAAATTCTATCCAACTCTGCAAATTGTTTTTCATAACCTTTTTCGTTAACAGCAATGAGGCACATTCCTCCGTCTCTATCAGTGGAACGGTGAGCAAACAAAACGTAGCGGAAACGATCAAGGTCTTCATCAAACTGGATAGGTTGTACTGATAACATAAGGAAATCATGCGATTTTTTGACGAAGCAAATGCTTGCAAATGCAAGGTACGTGTTAAGAAGTTAAAAGAATTCGCTTTTAGAAGGATGCCATTTTCTGCGACGCTCAGCCCGTTCTTATGTAATGCACCAAAATCTTTTTCTCTACTTCTTTGAACAACGCACAGCACTTGTAGTCCAATTGCCCAGTAGTCTTAATTCTGGCAATAGTGGCAAACAGCAGACTCGTTGCATTGCTTGTACGTTATTTTCACTTCGACATTATTGTACATCTGAACGATCGGATGGCAATTTTTATGACATCGATGAAGTACCATCGACGGCGATTCCTCCACCTAGGAGATTTATCTGAGAAAGCTTGTGTGTGAAATATTCCGGAAGGTACATTGGTTCAATGCTATATTGAACACCTGAAAACTAAAGTCTAAAACGAATATCGCCTTTATTCAAGCAAAAGGGGTGGTGCAGTGTGATGCTAGTGTAAATTGAGAAATTGATTTTTTCTTACGTTGTGCATTCGCCCTTTCAACCCGGAATCTTCATTTTTACTATGACATATTTAGCGACAGCATCGATTGCTCACCAGTGTATCGCGGTTCCGTTTTGTCACAAATATCATCTTTATTGTTGAAATTCTACAAGACTGTTATTAATGCGTGGTCGCTAATCAACAGTTATATTTGGAAATTTAAGTTGAAGATGTATCAAGTACGTCTCAGAATATGATGCGCGAAGTAAACCTTTTAAAAACGTTCCCAATGAAACATTTGACCGCATGTAAGGAATTCAATTAGTAACGCTAAAACTGTTTTATTATTGTAAAATTTGGAAATTAAAGATTAAGAAATAAAAAAGTCAATTATATCTAAGTCAAAATTGCTGAAGCATACATAAAAGGAGCCTGGAATTCCGTGGCATTTTTGATGTATTTAATTGCATTATGTAGTAACTTGTAATTATTGATTAGCTTATTCGATGATCAGAAGGCAAAGTAGTTCGTTACAAATTCATTTTGAAAGTGCGGCGGGCACCTATAGCCATTGCGTTCATATCGAAGTTTGAACGTTGACTGTGCTGTTGTGCTTTGTTTTTAGCTTCGG